GATATCAAGTTTATATGTCTTTAATTAATTTAATTTATTTTTAATACCGATTTAAATCGTATTGAATATACAACTCACGTTCGGGAGCTTCGCTAGGTACATCTGCCATGTTAGATCATTAATTTTTCTCTGGTATATACATTGATAAATATATAAGAATATAAAAAACTTTTTCAAAATGCACTATTATATTTCTACTGTTATATTTTGTTATTTTTTTCTTTTTTCAAGAAGAAAAACTAACAGGATATAACAAGATAGAATATTATTTTATCATAATGATTCAACTAGGATAATTTAAATTTTTAATAAACTTTTTCTATTAAAAAATGGCTCTTTTATTTTAATTTTTTGTATCTCATAATTAATGTATAATAAATGTATATCTGTTTCATTATATGAGAATAATTATATTTCTATTATAATCTATAGATTTATTTAACATATAATTATTGATGTGTATTTATTTCTCACTAAATTTAATAAAAATATTACTTTTCTATAGAAAAATAATTCTAGGAACATGCTGACATTAAATATAAGTTTAGGATATGAGATATATGTAATTCAAACTCTTCACACAAAGATGAAATAAAAAAATAATTATTTTTTAACTATACACTTTAATAACTATACACTTTAATATATTAATTTGTAGCAATTACAACCATGGAGTACAGCTGCAGGTTCAATGTCTTATATGGAACCAGTAGTTCCAATCCGTATAGGTGATTATACTCGTACACACCATTTATTACCATGGAGACCGAATGTTGGGTTCGAGAATACAGAAGTTATCCCCTTGTAAGTAGATTCAATATTTTCTCTTAGAAGTAATTATGATTCATTTGCTTTAGCACTCCTGTGATAACAACTATAAGACATCATGCTTTGAACCCTTTATAGAATGATTGATTTAACAAACAGATACTGTACTTTTATATGTATATGATTTAACAATTTTTGCTATTTTACTATATCATTGCCGATTCTCGATAAATCCTCCTCATCTTACTTTTATCTTCATCTTGAATAAATATTCAGCATATAGATCTGGATATGAATATGAAGAATATAATTATATTATTTTCTTGCAGAGTCACAAAGTCGATGTCAAGTTATGCACTGGGAGCAAGTAATAAAATGAGTACAAGGCCATTGAAATTTCCAAATCTGATTACGGGCTATCAACGCAATCCTGTTCATGCATCACAAGCCGCCCTTTATACGAGATACACACCGCACGAATGGTTTCAGAAACAAGTGAGATATTACAACGAAGCAGATTCACAGAGGCATTATTCCGAGAGAACGCGAAACGATGCCCTGAGAATTATCAGGTACAACTTTTTTAGAATAATTTTTAAATATATTGTGTATAAAACCGATGTTAAATCTGAATTTCAAATATTTTTCAGAAATGCCGAGGAGAAGATACAGCATGGCCAATACGATACCAGCCGAAGACTTGGCGAGAGAATAAACGACATTACTTTTTGGCGCAACGAAGTAGCAGCGGAATTAGAGAGAATGCTTCATGAAATCGAGAGACTCCATGATTGCCGAAATATTTTAGAAAAGGCATCACGAGATATTGAAGGACCTTTACACATCGCAGAAGAGTGTCTGTATCACAGGGAAGCTAGAAAAGGTATGCAGAATATTACAAAACTATTTTTAATTTATATTTCATGTTTTAAATATATTATGTGCGCATAAAAAGTTACAATAAATAATTTTATATTTTTAGGCACAGAATTGGTACATGATGAGTCGGAAAAATGTTTATTGCGAGAAGTAGAAAATTTGCGGACAAATCAAAAGAAATTGGAAACCTGTTTGGACAAATGCAAGGATCAGGTAAATTATATTTTAATTTATAGCAGAATTCCTATCTAACCGACATGATTATAATAATTAATGTTATTCTGCTTGTAGTTACGAAATTGCAGAGCTTCACAGAATCAACTAGAATTGGATTTAAAGAATAAGGAGAGTGCCCTAGGCATAGATAGTATTTGTCATCAATTGAGCAATCATACCCATGGATTACAATATTATTCTGGAATTGAGAAATACGATCCATGGTATTTAATTATATAATATTTGTATAATTTTTAATAACTATTATAATTAATTGTTAGCTTGTTAGTGTTTCAGAGCAAGAAACCTGGGCGGATGCAGTGAATAGAATAGTGCAAAGATCCCAAACAGAACGGAACAAATCTTGTCAATTACGCACCACTGCCGAAAGTCTTGTGAATAAAATTGCTCAGGAAATGTGGAATAGTTGGAGTAATACCAACAACGCTTTAACACATAGATCATCCGAATTACTTGAGGCTAAGAACAAGCTGCAACAGCATTTGCAAAAGGTATAAAATGTTACACTTGTAGCCTTTTCGGATTAAACGCGATTCGTGAAATATTACAGGTGCAACAGGAAATATTTGACGTTGAAAAAAATTTGGAATTAGTGCGTAAGGCTATCGCAGATAAAAATTATGCAACCAAAGTTGCACATACGAGAATGGAAGCGAGGATGCATCGTCCCGATATGGAATTATGTCGTGACTATGCCTACGCAAGGTATATAATTTTATAACGTATTCAGCAATATATGTGGACATTATTTGAAAATGCTATTTTGCAGTCTTCAGAAAGAGATTGACGAAATAAATCATCAACTCGAGCGCATGCATAAGTCGTTGAAAGAACTTGAGAATCAACATCAGAAACTGCTGCGAACTCGAACTATGCTCGAACACGATCTTGCCCTGAAAATAGACGCAATATATATCGATAAGGAAAAAGTTTGTGGTCTTAGACGTGCGTATCCTGTTAATGCTTTATTTAGATTTTAAAGATATATTCGTTAATGTCGTGCTCTACATACGAATACTGCCATTTATGAGAATGTTCAGTTGTGTCACTTGAAATACACTCCTAAAGGAATTTAGGCTACGTGATATTTCCACGAGTAGGAGATTTGAAAAAATATATTATACATTAAATATTTATTCATTTGTACAATTGTCATAATTACACTAGAACTATTAAACATAATTACACTTTACTTTGTTGAATGACTTTTGACATAGCTCGGTACAGGCAGATTAAATCCAGGTTTGGCTTCAAAAAACGTATAGGAGAGAACTATTTCATCAATAAACTCCATCCTTGGATCCTCTATGA